CGCTCTGCGCCCGGGCGCGCCTCGCGCCTGCGCGGCGTGCGTCGCCGCGCTCAGCCGGGCGGACGGCGGCGGGGCGCTGCGGGCGCTGCGGGCCGACCCGCAGCGGCGCCCGCCTGCGCTGCTGGCTGCGCTGGCGGGGTGCCGGGACCCCCCGACGGAGGACTTCGGTCGGGCGGGTGCTGCCGGGGCCCCTCGCGTTGTGAAAAAAATCACGGCGGGAGGTGTTTCGTTATTTTCGGCCTCCGGGGGCCCTCACCAGGCCTCGGGACCGTCAACAAAACGACTCGGGACGAAGCACCGGTCCCGGGGAGTGGGTCGAGACCTTTGGGGGTCGACGTTGTGACAAAAATTACGACGTCGGGGTTCTGGGAGGGGGAGGGGCCCAGATAGGGTGTGAAGAGAGGGGTTCCCAAAGAGCTTCTTGGGGCCCCTTTTGGATCCCCACTGGCTCCAAACGGGGCCCTAGCCGGCCTCTCCAAGGACCCCCGGAGGGGCCGAGTGAGAGGACTTCAGAGGAGGAAAACCCTGTGAGATCCTGGCGTCTCAATTTTTTCCCCACATGCTTAGTGGGGTTCTGGTTTTCTTCCTTCCCGCGTCGCGCCCGCGTCTCCTCCTCACCCCTCCTCCTCCTTCTCCTTCTCACACAGCACAGCGCAGCTCAGCACAGCACAGCTCAGCACGTTTTTCCCCACATGTTTCGTGGGTTTCTGGTTTTCTTCCCCACATGTTTCGTGGGGTTATGGTTTTCCTCCCTGCCGCGTCGCACCCGCTTCTCCCGCACACGCACGCACATACACACACACGCACGCACGCACGCACGCACGCACGCACGCACGCATGCACGCACGCACGCACGCCCTCACGCACGCACGCACGCACGCACGCACGCACGCACGCACGCACGCACGCACGCACGCACGCACGCACGCACGCGCGCACGCGCGCACGCGCGCACGCGCGCACGCGCGCACGCGCGGCACGCGCGCAACGGCGCCACGCGCGCACGCGCACACGCGCGCACGCGCACACGCGCACGCACACGCGCACACGCGCACACGCGCACACGCGCAACGCGCACGCGACGCGCAACGCGCACTCGCGCACACACGCGCACACGCTTACGCACACGCACACCACACACGCACACGCACACGCACACGCACACGCAACGCACACGCACACGCACACACACGCACACGCACACGCACACGCACACGCACACACACACACACGCACACCCACACGCACACGCACACGCACACGCACACGCACACGCACACGCACACGCACACGCACACGCACACGCACACGCACACGCACACGCACACGCACACGCACACGCACACGCACACGCACACGCACACGCACACGCACACGCACGTGACACTTTCTCGATGGTTCAAGAGGGTGCGCAGGGGGTGCGGTCGCTGTGCGTTTCAGCTTCGCAAAGCGTGGCAGGCGTCACACTTCCTCGACGCCACAGGGGGTGCGGTCGCTATGCGTTTCGGGTTCGCAAAGCGTGGCAGGCGTGACACTTCCTCGACGCCAGAGGGGGTGCGCTGGGGGTGCGGTCGCTATCCGTTTCGGGCTCGCAAAGCGTGGCAGGCGTGGCACTTTCTCGACGCCGCAGGGGGTGCGCTGGGGGTGCGGTCGCTGTCCGTTTCGGCTTCGCAACGTGTGGCAGGCGTGGCACTTTCTCGATGCCACAGGTGGTGCGCTGGGGGTGCGGGCGCTATCCGTTTCGGCGTCGTAAAGCGTGGCAGGCGTGGCACTTTCTCGGCGCCACAGGGGGGGCGCTGGGGGTGCGGTCGCTATCCGCTTCGGCGTCGCAAAGCGTGGCAGGCGTGGCACTTTCTCGGCGCCGCAGGGGGTGCGCTGGGGGTGCGGTCGCTATCCGTTTCGGCTTCGCAAAGCGTGGCAGGCGTGGCACTTTCTCGACGCCACAGGGGGTGCGCTGGGGGTGCGGTCGCTATCCGTTTCGGCTTCGCAAAGCGTGGCAGGCGTGGCACTTTCTCGGCGCCACAGGGGGTGCGCTGGGGGTGCGGCCGCTATGCGTTTCGGCGTCGCAAAGCGTGGCACTTTCTCGACGCCGCAGGGGGGCGCTGGGGGTGCGGTCGCTATCCGTTTCGGCTTCGCAAAGCGTGGCAGGCGTGGCACTTTCTCGGCGCCACACGGGGTGCGCTGGGGGTGCGGTCGCTATCCGTTTCCGCCTCGCAACTTGTGGCAGGCATGGCCTTTTCTCGACGCCACAAGGGGTGCGTTGGGGGGGCGGTCGCTATCCGTTTCGGCCTCGCAAAGCGTGGCAGGCGTGGCACTTCCTCGACGCCACAGGGGGTGCGCTGGGGGTGCGGTCGCTATCCGTTTCGGCGTCGCAAAGCGTGGCAGGCGTGGCATTTCCTCGGCGCCACATGGGGTGCGCTGGGGGTGCGGCCGCTATCCGCTTCGGCGTCGCAAAGCGTGGCAGGCGTGGCACTTTCTCGACGCCGCAGGGGGTGCGCTGGGGGTGCGGTCGCTATCCGTTTCGGCCTCGCAAAGCGTGGCAGGCGTGGCACTTTCTCGATGCCACAGGGGGTGTGCTGCGGGTGCGGTCGCTATCCGTTTCGGCTTCGCACAGCGTGGCAGGCGTGACACTCTCTTGATGCCACAGGGTGTGCGCTGCGGGTGCGGTCGCTATCCGTTTCGGGTTCGCAAAGAGTGGCAGGCGTGACGCTCTCTCGACGCCGCAGGGGGTGCGCTGGGGGTGCGGTCGCTATCCGTTTCGGGTTCGCAACGTGTGGCAGGCATGGCACTTTCTCGGCGCCACAGGGGGTGCGCTGGGGAGGTGGGAGACCGCACGCTCGAGTCGAGCGCCTGGGGCCTCCAGTGCCGCAGATGGACCTGCTGGCCCGCCGAGTCCGGGGCCGCCGAGCGGGCGCGGGGGCCGCCGAGCATTTTTCTTTCCCTCAGATCTGATCAGAGGCTTTCCGCCGAAGGTCGCGTTCCACAGTGTTCGTTGCCTCGTGGGCGCCGCAGATTGATTTCCATGTGTATTGAACAACAAATATCTGATCTCCTCTCCACTCTCCTCCCTCCTCTCCTCTTGACTGGCGTCACCAACGGTATCGGCGGGGCAGCGGCCACCAACATCATTCCCACATGCTTCACTTCAGCTATCATCATTCCAGCCATCATATAAGTATGTGGGATTTTTCGGTCGCGTAATCGAGGCGGGCGTTTTCGCCCGGGTTCGGGCCCCGAGACCCCAGATACGACCCCTTGACGGAGGACTTCCGAGGAGGAACAGGTACCCCTAGGCCTGCTTCCGCATGGGAACATACAGGGCGGGAGGTCTTCCGTTTCTTTCGGCCTCTGGGGCCTTTCGCCAGGCCCCGGGACCGTTGCAAGCACAACTCGGGGTGAAGCGTCGGCCCCAGGGAAAGGGTCGGGACTTCGGAGGAGGAGGAAAACCTTGAGACTTCGGAGAAAGGTTCGGAAAAAGGGTTCGGAAAGGGGCCCCCGAGCAGGAGGAGGAGGAGAAACTTCGGAGAAGGGTTCGGAAAGGGGCCCCCGACCGAGGACTTCGGGGGAGGAACACCTCGAGACCCTGGCGCTGCAATTTTTTCTCGAGCCGGGCGTCGTCGCCTGGTTTCGAGCCCCGAGGCCCTCACATATCGATCCGGCTCGAACAATTTGTGCAGAAACATGGGATTTGGGGCCCCCGTCGTGATTTTTTCGCGATGTTTCGATCTGTTCGAAGCGTCGGGTCTCAGGGAAGGTACGGGTACCGCTGCCCTTGCCTCGTCCTCCTTTTGTTGAGCTTCCCGGGAGGCCCTCGTCGCCACCGCTGGATTCATGTCGAAATGCTGGTCAGAGCGCGCCCCAGAAAAAGTCCAGGGAGTAGCAGGACCACTACCTTTAGGTGGGGCTTGTCCCCCTACAGGCGGATCTTGGACGAAAAGTAACATATCCCAAAAAGTTCAAAACTTGACAACAAATCGTGGAATAATCGTTCCGCATGGTTTTCTTTTGACTATTGTGGTATGCTCCTCCTGTAGAGGGACAGGCCCGACTTGCCACTGCCTTTTTGTCTGCCCAGGACTGCTGCTGGCTGGTGCGCACGCTCGCGCGCGGTGCCGGTGCTTGGAGTCTTCCACTCACCGGTCTCCTTCCCTTGTGTCAAGCAGCGTCGAAACCAGATCCCCTCGAGTAATGAAAAATTAATGACGGATGGTTTTTCTTAATTTTCAGCCTCTGGGGGCCCCCCACCAGGCCTCGGGAGCGTAAAACAACGGTTCAGGATGCAAAGCCGGTCATGGGGAAAGGGTCGAGACCTCAGGGGGTCGACGTAACGAAAAAATCATTACGTCGGGGGTTTGGGAACGTCTTGTCTCGCTTAGAGACTGTTTTTTTTAGGGTCCGGCGATCACCCAGGTTATCGGGCTTGCCCCCCCCCCCCTCCCCCCCGAGGATAACCTAACCTTGCCGGTTGTGCAGGTCTGGGGGGGCGCGGGCACATGCTGGGCCGCCCACAGCGCGAAGGTTAGGTTGTGGGCCGGCCACCTCCTCCACCCCCTGATAACCGGGGTTACCGCCGATTCAAAAAACACGGTCTGTTATAGGCCCACCAAAAAATGTTCAAATAAGTTTTTGTGGTCTGCGCGAGATGTTCTTAGAGCATTTCTGGCTGGGGCCGTTTTGTTTTAACACGTCGGGTTTATGCTCCAAGAGCATTGTTTTCGCTCCTAGAACATATTAGGGTTCGAAGAACATGTCGTGGTAGGCCTACAAGAATGCTTGGACGGTCGGTCCCTGCTCCTTTTTGGGGCATGGTATCTCAGCGATGGCAGCCCCCCCCCCCCCCCGGTGCGGGCAGGCCCCGCAAGGCCCTGTGGGAACAGCGCGCGTCCCTGCCCACGGGTCGGGTAAGTCGGCCAGTGCGGCCACGGCCCTGCCAGTGGGGATGGGGATCGGCGAAGCCATGCTCAGGCGCGGCGCGGCGAGCCTCCCAGGGCGGCGCGGCGGCTGCGGGGCGCGTCGAGCTCCGGCGCGCGCTGTTCCGTGGAGCGGCGTCTCACTGGCTCGGCGGTGTGGCAGCCCTCCTGCAGGCGCAGGCCGGCCTGGGCGGCCTGCGGGACCCCCGCTCGCACCGCACGGCTCTGGAGCTGGCGAGGGCCCTGCTGGACCACGAGATGGTCCGGGTGATGGAGGCGTGCGGCGCCACGCAGGCCTCTAACCCGGACTTCCAGGAGTGGGCCACAGTCGTGGCGGCGGCGCGCGGGGACAAGAGGGCAGTGGCGCTGTGGGCGCCGGCTGCGCGACCCGACTGGCGCGAGCCTCCGCCGGGCGTCCGCTGGACGGCGCTGATGGCGGCCGCGGCGCAGGGCCACGCTGGGATCTCCCGCTCGCTGCTGGAGGGGAGGGCCTGCGCGGCGAGGAGCGAATAAGAAGCAATGGCACAAACGGTCCGCCTCCGCGTGGGCCGTAAAAAGTTTACGCTCATGCTGTTGAGGAGGAGGAGGAGGAGGAGGAGGAGGAGGAGGAGGAGGAGGAGGGAGAAGGAGCAGGAGGAGGAGGAGGAGGAGGAGGAGAGGAGGAGAGAGGAGAGGGAGGAGGAGGAGAAGGAGGAGGAGGAGGAGGAGCAGGAGCAGGAGGAGGGAGGAGAAGGAGGACGAGGAGGTGGAGGAGGAGGAGGAGGAGGAGGAGGAGGAGGAGGAGGAGGAGGAGGATGGCGAGGAGGAGGAGCAGGAGGAGGAGGAGGACGAGGAGGAGGAGGAGGACGAGGAGGAGGAGGAGGAGGAGGAGGAGGAGGAGGAGGAGGAGGAGGAGGAGGAGGAGGAGGAGTCTTCTTCCCCCAGAGGAGGGATGCGCAGGGCCGCACGCCCGGCGATCTCGCGCGGGGCGGCGGCCACGCGCTGCTCGCCAGCACACTGGACAAGCTCGCCGCCGCCCACGTCGAGGGGCGCGTCGCGGGCGGCGAGGCGCGGGCGGCGGTCGAGGCGTCGCTGATGCCGGAGGAGCTTAGCGGCCTCGATGCGCCCGTTTTGAAACGCAACGCGTGCAATGCTCAAAGCGTCCGTGTTCACGCGTTGCGTGTAGGCTCGACGTATCGGCCCACGTTTTGGCGGGCGGATCGCGTCAGACCTACGCTCTCAGTCTGCGTGCTGAGCTCCGTGTCAGTACGCTGCGTGCTGCGCGTTTCGTACCGGGGCAGCTGAGCGGAGGAGTGGCGCGCGGGGCCCGGGTGGGAGGTCGAGGAGCCCGAGGTCCGAGGAACAGAAGCCTCCCTCGACGGCCGCGGACTTCTCGGGGCCTGCGCTCGGGCCCCCTGGCGGCGCCTCCTGCGCGGCCCCTTTGAGCGCACCGCGCGCCGGGAGGGGGGTGCAGCGCTGGTCCAGGAAGTCCGCGCGGACTGCCTCGAGAGTCGAAGGTCTATGCTTCAGCCACGCTTCTTCCCCCAGTAGGTGGAGGAGGAGGCGGCGGAGTCGGAGCCCTCGGACGAGGGGCCCCCGCCGGCGGGCGCGCCCGAGCCCGTGTGGGGGGCCTCGGGCGCCTACCCTCGCAGGCTGATCGCCAGGGTCATCGCTGGCCACGCCCTCCGGCCCGGGGGGATCCTGCACACACTGGACGCGTATGTCAGGGTCAGGCTTCGGTGAGCAGCAGCTTGCACAAGCAACACTTTCGGGGGTCCGCGCGGATTTTTCGGATCGGCGCTGGAGCCCCCCGGCGGCGCCTCTGGCGCCTCGCGGAGCGCACAAGGGGCGGCGCCGGAGGCGCCGCCAGTGGGCTCCAGCGCCGATCCGGAAAGTCCGCGAGGACGTCCCACAGTTTATGCTCGTGCAGCTTTTTGTTGTGGCGCCAAGGCTCTCATACATGCCCCTGAGCGGGTGCAAGTTTACCCAGACGGTCCCAAACAACTCGAACCCACTGTTCGACCACGAGTTCGAGTTCCAGGTGAGAAGCCGGACTGACTGGCTGTACTGCGCGGTGTTCGACTCGGGAAGCTTCTCCGACGACCTGCTGGGAAGGTGCGACTTAAAACTGTCTAAGTTCGAACTCCGGCTGCTCCACGGCGAGGAGGTCATCGTCCGCAAGGTCCTCAGGAAGCAGACTGTGGGGCTCAACAACCAGGAGCTCACGGTCGGCATCAGGCACCGAAGAACAAGCAACCACGCAACCATACAGTTCGGAGGTCCGCGCGGATTTCTCGAGTCGACGTTGGACCTCCACTCCCTTGGCGCGCCAAGCGCCCCAGTGTCAGCGCCGGAGGCGCTGTCAGCGGGGGTCCAGCGCCAGCACAAGAAATCTGCACGGACCTCTGAACGCTATGTGCACTTCTTCTGCTGTGTTTCCCCCAACGGGGTTTGCGCCGTGGGGCACTCTCCGTAGGAGCTCGTTCCCAGACACTGGACGTCATGATTTTTTCATGACGCGACCCCCAGAGGTCTGGACCCATTCCCGAGGACCGGTTTTTCATCCTGAGTTGTTTCATGACAGTCCCGAGTCCGGTGAAGGGCCCCCAGAGGCCGAAAATCAAGAAAAATTGCCGTCGTGATTTTGTCATGACTCGATGGGGGTCTGGGTCTGTAGGAGCTCGTTGGGTGGGTGTTCCGCGTTTTCGCCCGGTGCCCGCCTCGTGCGCGCTCCATGCGCTGGGAGGAGGAGGAGGAGGAGGAGGAGGGAGGACGAGGAGGAGGAGGAGAAGGAGGAGGAGGAGGAGGAGGAGGAGGAGGAGGAGGAGGAGGAAGGAGGAGGGAGGAGGAGGGGAGGAGGATGAGGGAGGAGGGAGGAGGGAGGAGGGAGGAGGGAGGAGGGAGGAGGGAGGACTTCCAGGACTTCCGCCATCACGTAGTGATAATCAGGCTAAGCTGAGCACTTTGGAAACAGGCCGCGATTAATCCTGTCAAGATATTCCCGCCTGGCCTTCGACAGTGGCAAAGTGCACGGTTCCCCAAGCCCTCTGAGCTGGGCCTGACTGAAAAGCCCGCACGTGCCACAATACCACGACCGAATGTCTTTATGATAGATAGCGGCGTGTGAAGGATGGATCCAATCCCCAGCCAAGTGTAAACGCCCTCCATTCGGAACGCGAGCTAACTGACTATTCACATGATGGAGTTGGAAGCACTCACTTTTAACCATCCGCACAACACCGCTTTGGTCGAGGAGCCTTTACACACACTACACGCCCTACCACTTTCGGTCAGGGTGTGGGCAGACGCGAAGCGTGCTAAGGCTATAGGAGGAGGGGGAGGAGGTGGAGGCCCAGGTGCAGCCGTGGCCCCGGCTTCCCCTGAAATCTGAGAGGCTCGAATTGAAACTAAACTGACTCTGAGAAGTCTCTGCCTAACTAGCTTGGCTGTGTGTTCCACCGACAGGACCTGGTGACGACTGGCCTGTGGGACCCGCGCCCGCGCGGCGGCCTCCCCAGCAAGGGCGTCCACACAAGCATTGCCTAGAATGAGCCAGCTCGGGATTCGACGGGTGAGAACTTCGCTGCCGTCTAGGTGGGACGGCACCTGCATTGTAGCAATACTCGCTGGGTGACGATCCTGCCGAGCCAGCGTCTTGCCGACCTGCCTTCAGAGATCGGCCTGGGGTCCTTCAGGCCTCAGAAAAAAGCTCGGCATACCACCCCCGCGCAACCTCGGCGCAGTCGGTGATATGGGTCATTACACCACTGGAGAACCTAATAGCCCACAGGAAAGCTAAACGTTCGCCTCTGGGAACACTCTGAGCACTACCATACAAGGGCCCCATGGGGTAGGGTCGTAGCACTAGAGGCTCGAAGCTGACAAACGACGCGACAGCAAGGCCAACCCTACGGAGCCTCGAGTCGTGGGTGTCTGCCCCACGCGAGGCGTCTCCGAAAATGATGACGGGGCTCTCTGTAGAGCCAGCCCCAAGGCAGCTCTCACGCAGATGCCCCCCTAGGAGCTGGCCCCCTTCGAAGGATTCAAAGGCAGGAGGAGGAGGGACGGCCGTCCACGGGGCGGGGATGAGGCCCCTCATCCACAAGCACGGGAACGCTTCTGCCTCCGCTACGCCCTGCGGCAACAGATCACACGAGCCGGCATATGCTTTACACAGGTCAGAGTCACACAACTTGGCCTCGAAAGAACGCTCACGAGTCCAGTAGCCGCCCGTCGCGATGCAGACGAGCAGCTCGGACAGCTGCCTGCCCTTCTAGGCCGAAAGCAAATCCTGCACCATCACCTGCAAGGAGCCCATGTTAGCGCCCTGCTCGAGGCCGCCCCCGCAGAATAGGGAGGCAGCCTCCCTCCACAACTTCAACTGCATGGTGCTCTCCAGTTCGTCCAAGAGTGGGCCTGCCTGATCCAGCGCCTCGAAGTCACTGCTATGGAATTCCCAAGTGCGTGCCATCGAAGAGCCGTCACTCGGCACGTCCCACGCTACAGGCGACCTCGGCGACCATCCAGCCTCCAGAAGATACAGGATAACTGCAGTCATTGGTCCTGGAATGTGTCGTGAACGTTGACCTTCGGGCTGGCGAGATAGATGATCCAGCGCCTTGGGCCACGCTCTCATAATAGAAGGTCGAAGGTGAGAATCTGACAACCAGACACTCAGCCACTGAGCGACGCACTGACATGGCAGCTGAGTGCCAGGGTCACACCCTGGGAGCCTGCTGGCCAGCAGCGTCGTCAAACAGCGGCCCCGACGCGCTGAGCCAGCGGCCGCTCCGAGGCGTCGCCTCTGCGCCTGCATCGCCGTCCCGAGCATGCCGTGCACGTGGTGCCCGTGCGCGGCGGCAGCCTGCGGCCCTGCTCGCTGGAGCTTGGCCGCGACCGCCCAGCGCCTCGCCGCCTGCGCAAAGCGCCGCAAGCGCCCGTGCGCCTTGCCCGACTTGATTGCCCGCTGCCTCACCGCGGCGCGCCCGTGGCGCCGACCGCGGGACAAATTCACCCCGAGGTAGGCCGTCTGCAGGACTGCTCGCAGCGAGACGCCATTCCTCTTCAGCACGCGCTGCACCACCTGCGCGTCGGCGCGGTGGGAGCACATCGCCGCGCTCTTGTCGGCGATGGCCAACTGCAGCTTGGAGAACAGCCTGATGGTTGACAGCAATCCCTTGATGAGCGTGGTGCGAACGTGCTGCCTCGAGCCCGCCACCCTCTGCGACAGGTCGTCGATACAGATGCGCTCGCTCAAAGAGACGTGGGCCTCGCACAATCGCTGACACACGTGCGCCGTCAAACACTTGGCGACACGCGTGCCGTTGCGCAAGCCCTGCGCCGCTGAGCGCATGACCTGAAACGGTTCGCTGAACGAGTTAAGTTGCTCAACAACGCGAGGGGCCAAACAAATCTGAAGCTTCAAATATAAAACAACTGCTGGAAGCCCCTTTCGCAGTGCACAGAGCGCGAGGGGCTCCCATTCGATGGAATCGTAGAACGAAGCAGTATCCCTGGCCATGCGGGATGTCGAGCCTGGACTGCACCTCATCCTGGAGCGCCCGCACGAAGGCCTCGCGCAGGGCGCTGTTCCCAGCGATGGCTGTGTCCCAGTGGTCCGTCGCCGCCTGAGCGTCGGACCACTCCTACATCTGGCTCCCCCTGGCCATGGACCAGACTCGGCACAGCATGGCGATCAAGCCGATGACGCGATCGCCACCAGCCTTCTTGCCCAGCAGCTTGCCGATCACGCGCTGGACCTGCCGCGGCCACGACAGGCCCTCCTCGATCATGCTGGGGAGGTCGCACAAGGACTGGATGCCCTCGTCGGGCAGGCGCCCGAAGTCCGTCGGGGAGAGCCTGTCTATCCCGAGGCCCGCCCGTGCCTTCGTGCGCCTCAATGCTGCTCTGACGTCTGTGACGTCGAGCGGCGCCAGCTGCTCCACGTCAGCACGGCGCCTGATGGGGCGCGCGGTCTCCAGCGCGCCTGACCACGTCGTGATCTTGGAGTCCCACAACTTGTGATACCGAGCAACCTTCCGATCCACTATGTTCGTGGGATGAACCAAAACACGTCCGTCGTCGTCGTCGTCGTGGTACTCGTCCCTCTCGGGGTCCGTGTCCTTCAGAGACCTGAATACCTGGCCCTGGGACTCCAAGCTGCTGAACCACTCCTGGAAATCGCGCAGGGAGGCCGCCGCCGCCCTGTTGAGGGCGCGCCTGGAAGCTTTGAAAGTCCTCTCCACTAGCGCCGCCAGCTCATCAACCGACGAGTCCAGGGCGCGACGAAGACTCCGTGGCAGTTCCTCCCACGAGCCAAGAGTGACAGGATGCGGCGCGCCTGCTCCGTTAACAGGCTGATCAGCCAGTCGTGTAGCAGCTGAAGAAGGGTAACTCAATTGAACGTTGCCGTTGGCGCGCCGCCTGTGGCGCAGAATACGTTGAATAACTGTGTGCACGCGAGACCACCATGTCGAAACTCCGTCTCGTAGCGGCGCCTGGCGCATGTGCTCGGCCTGCTTGGCCCTGACTACGCGCAGCTCGCAACCGATGGCTCGGGGCCGCTCGGGGGCGTCCAGCTGGCGGTGCGTGGCTATCGTCAGCTCGGCCGTCTGCGCCCACCTCGCGAAAGCTCCGCTGATGGGAAACACACGCTGCTCGCCCGCCTGATAGGCGAGTGACTGAGTGATAGGAAACCCAACGTCGTGATGAGAGTGTGGGGCCCAGGAAGCTCGAGCCGACGCAGCAACCCACGAGGAGCTCGGAATGGAGGAAGTCGGGGGAGGAGCGGGAGGCGCAGCAGCAGCGGCAGGGGCGAGACCAGCTCCCCCCTCCAGGGTTCCATCGCTCCGTGGACGCTTGGCTTGGGGTCGGCCCCTGTGCCCTCGCTGCTCCCTGCGGGCCCCCCAGAAGTCTGAACGCTATGATTGGTTCCTGCACTTACGAGGTGAAACCATGACTCGTGGGCCCAGGGGTCTTCTTCCCCCTCGGCCTCGAATTCGCCAGCCGCGCCCTCTGCGCCCTGAGAGCCAAAACCGACCTGCGACGAATCGGGGACGGAAGGGTCGAGAGCCCCAGGGTCGGCGGGTTCGGGGAGGGACGAGCTGGCAAAAACATCGCCGTACAGCTCATCGCAGGTGCCAGAGGTTCTCTCTCTCTCTCTCTCCCTCTTTCTCTCTCTCTCTCTCTCTCTTCTGTCCCTGGCGGTCGGCCAGCTCGAGACGCTCCGCGCTCGCTTT